CACTTAAAATCATTCTAACCTTGTTCATTCTTTGGGGCCTATTTTTTATTTGCCATCACCATTTTCAATTTAATGTCTTTTGCTGCATTGTTGGCACCTAATGTCATCATTGATCAGCATTCAGTACTGTACTGCATGCAACCCAGACATTCTCACCCTTTGGTTCTGGTTGTGGGCAAGGACTCTTGCTTCCCTCTTGGCCTTGCTTCCCAGTGCTGTCTCCTCCTGGACATGTCTCCAGTTTGCTCCATCCCATTCTTGTTTTATCTCCCTGGAACTTGTTATTCCAGTGTTGCTTTGCCTCAGCTTCACCTTTTGCCCTCTGTTCTTACCTCTAGGCATCAGGCTTGGTCTTCTCTTGGCCCTTGGCTCCATTCTTGGGTTCTCAGTTCCAATTCAGGAGGAAAGTAAAGTTCTGGGCTCCATCTCATGGCAGAAATTGGTCAATGCATGTAGCCCTGGAAGTCCAATTGCACTAACCAATTTCTGCAACAAGATAAAGCCAGATCACGATAGGGGAGTAGATATTTTTAAAATATTGTACTCTATTTATTTTAAATTTAGTGCATTTTATTTGGCAAGTTAATTCAGCGAACAATGCAGGGTTGTATGTGTACAGTATAGTATTTCAACTATTAGATTTTTTTTAAAGAATAAGAAATGCTCCAAGGAACCCAACTCTGGCTTTAACATTGCTTCCCTTGGGAAACCATGCTTTACTTAAAATTAAACAGAGCCCTGCAGATGCTGAAGATCTGAACCAAAAACAGAAATTGCTGGAGAAACTTAGCAAGTCTGGCAGCATCTGTGGAGAAAAAAGCAGAGTTAACCATTTTGAGTCCAGTGACCCTTCTTCACATACGCTGCCAGACCTGCTCAGCTTCTCCAGCAATTTCTGTTTTCGTTTCATGCTTCGCTTAAGTTGTTTTGTGTAAAGTCTTCATTTTCAGGAAAACTACCACAAATTTAAGTCAGGACTTGCAGTAATTTAGAAATTCACAGTTTGAAGTCCACTTCTGACAGAAAACATTTTGCATCTTAAACATAAAACCAACTTTTAATCGAATGCAAAAACAGATCTACAACAAAGTACAAGGATGTTGACTGAGAATAGTCTCCAATTTCAAGAAGTATTCATCATATAGTATTAAGTTCATAGTTACATTTTTAAGAGATGGTCACTTTCACCATCACCACAGAGACTCATATGAAGCACGTCAGTAATGAGCTCAGCCAATGCCTGATTTAGCAAAAAAAGAAATACTTATTTCCTCAGGTTGCGAAATGAAATAAATAAAATCAAATCTGGTTCTGAAGGAGGTAAGTGGTAGGTAAGTAAGAGATAAGAAGTAAGTAGCTAGGCAAGAAAGCCAAGAATAGTATGAATGATTTTTTTTTATTTTGCAAGCTTTATCCAACAGAAATGAATTACTAGCCACAGGCTAAGGCAACACATGTTCAACTATATTCACGCATAGATAGAGGTACTTCACACACAAGATTCATCATGTTTTTCCTCAATAAACATCTACCACCTTTCAGTATAAAACGTGCAGTCTTTTTCTTTCACTAAGGTCTGAGTTTGTCATAAATTTAGTTAGTTACAACACATCTTATTATGGGATCCAAGCTTCTTTCCAGCAGTTGAGAATATTAATTTGACTTCAGTGATAGCTGAAATTCCTATCTTGCACAAGATCCAGCCAGCCACCTCTTTCATGATGACCTATTCTCAGTTCAGACCTATACCATCCTCCATCCAGACCTCCCATTCCAAACTTCTCTTTCCAGACTACTCAGGCTCCACTCCAGAATGGAGACAGGACATCATCTAGCATCACCTCAATTAAATCAAATTCACAAATTATTAGATGCTTTCAAAATTTCTACTCCTAGATCTTTTTGGCAGAAGAGCCCTTTTCAAATGGATTAGCAATACTAGAGTCTCTTCCCCTTCAATCATAATGCATTGTAACAAATGAGAATAATGCCACAATGTGTTTTAATAATTTTAAGGGAATAGATATTTAATTACTAATTTTTATAGAAAACATTTCCAGATTCATAGTTATGTTCATGCTCACTCTCCTCAGTGAAACTGTCAGCCCACTCTGTGCTGGATCTAGAGCTGTGCAGCCCAGTACAACATCCACTGTGATAACAAGGTGTAGAGCTGGATGAACACAGCAGGCCAAGCAGGATCAGAGGAGCAGGAAAGCTGACGTTTCGGGTCTAGACCATTCTTCAGAAATGGGGGAGGGGAAGGGGGTTATGAAATAAATAGGGAGAGAGGGGGAGGCGGATAGAAGACGGATAAAGGAGAAGATAGGTGGAGAGGAGACAGACAGGTCAAAGAGGCGGGGGTGGAGCCAGTAAAGGTGAATGTAGGTGGGGAGTTAGGGAGGCGATAGGTCAGTCCAGGGAGGACGGACAGGTCAAGGGGGCGGGATGAGGCTAGTAGGTAGGAGATGGGGGTGGGGCTTGAGGAGGCTCGGGGGACCGCTTTGCGGAACACCTACACTCGGTTCGCACTAAACAACTGCACCTCCCAGTCGCGAACCATTTCAACTCACCCTCCCATTCCTCAGACGACATGATCATCCTGGGCCTCCTGCAGTGCCACAACGATGCCACCCGAAGGTTGCACCTCATATTTCGCTTGGGAACCCTGCAGCCCAATGGTATCAATGTGGACTTCACAAGCTTCAAAATCTCCTCTCCCTCTACCGCATCCCAAAACCAGCCCAGCTTGTCCCCACCTCCCTAACCTGTCCTTCCTCCCACCTATCCCCTCCTCCCACCTCAAGCCCCACACTCATCTCCTACCTACTAGCCTCATCCCGCCCCCTTGACCTGTCCGTCCTCCCTGGACTGACCTATCCCCTCCCTAACTCCCCACCTACACTCACCTTTACTGGCTCCATCCCCGCCTTTTTGACCTGTCTGTCTCCTCTCCACCGATCTTCTCCTTTATCTATCTTCTATCCGCCTCCCCCTCTCTCCCTATTTATTTCAGAACTCCCTTTGTCTCCCCCATTTCTGAAGAATGGTCTAGGCCCAAAACGTCAGCTTTCCTGCTCCTCTGATGCTGCTTGGCCTGCTGTGTTCATCCAGCTCTACACCTTGTTATCTCAGATTCTCCAGCATCTGCAGTTCCTAATATCTCTCCACAACATCCACTGTCCTAGTTTTCCTATTTATCCAACAGTAAAACAAAATATGAACAAAAGTAGTGTGAACAAACATCATGAGCTGTTGTTTCAAATGTTTGAAGAATAACAGTTGTACCTCGCTTTTAGAGTTCTCTGCTAACAATGAACATTTCCATACTACTGAAAAAGTGGGATTAAGATGATTATTAGTTGGTGAGTAAGTTTGCTGCAATTTCTTATAAGGTACATGACAAGCTCAGCAATTATCTCTAGGGAAGAAGAAAAAGATTGCATATAATACAAACTACTACTTGTCTGCACTTTCACCAGCTACATAAATGAACAAATTGTTCACTTGTCTTTCCTTGATTTACCAAGTTTATTCAAAAGAAATAGTGTTCTCTATAAATCAAAATAAACAAATAGCTCAGACACAAAAATTGATAATGGGGATGTGCTGGATACAATAATGACTTGGAATATTTTTCCAGCTTCAAGTGACCGCCACAAACTATTCGAAATTTGGCCTAGATTTTTGCAGAGCCTTAGCCTTCATGGCTTTTCCAAAATGGTGATGGGAACTCAGAACCAGACATCCAGTTCCCGTTATCAACACTTCTTACTTTTTCGTGAGGAAATTGGGTCTGGACATGATGTACAGATAGGACGAAACCTGAACTCTGCAGGGCCATTGAATGTCAATGCTGAATTCAAACAGATCCAGTTTTTGCTGGAGTGAGGGGCTTATTGCACAGTGCGTAACTTATTAATTTTTAAGAGGAAATGTACATAAAGGATGGTGAAGGTCTTGGCAACTGCCAAGTTATCTAAAAGTCCCAACCTTTAAGTTTTGTAAACAAAACAGCTTGCCATCTCCAAATTGACAAAAAAGTCTGATTACAATTTCTGTTGTTCATACAACATTGTTACTGATTGACTGCTTCTAAAACCTGTCATCACCACAGTGGGGAAGCAAGTAAACAGTTTCACTGGCTTCTTCAAGAGATTATTGAAGGACTACCTCTCTCTGATGTAGGGTTATAAATACAGTGAGGTTCCACCGTTTGCTTCTTTCACGATTTATGAATTTGCTTACGTACACAAAGCATTATGTATAGAATTTTATTCATTGTGGGTCTAATGTTCACTTATTCACAGTTTTCATATTTTAAAAAATGCAGAAAACTTGCAGGAATTGACAAAATAATGTAAAGGCACCTAAAAAAAACCTACGATGTGGACGCATTAAAACTGTATTTCTTGGAGTGAAAAGTACACAGTGCACTTGTGCAGTCTACATAAATGAATCAGAAGCAAGTGTGCTATTCAGCCCCTCAAGCTTGCTCCACCATTCAATAAGATCATGGCTGATCTGATTGCAATTTCTATTTCACATTCCTGCCTGTTATCCTACCCTGATAACTTTTCAACCCCTTAATAGGAATCTATCAAGGGTTCTGCTTCCACTACCTTTTCAAGAGGAGAATTCCAAAGACTTCTGGACCATCTTTTCAAGGGCAATTAGGAACGGAGAATAAATGCTGACCTAAGCAGGAATGGTCACATCCAATAAATTAATGAAAAACAGTAAACTCTACAGAAAAATTAGTGGAATTGAAGAAATCAAATGCATATAAAGAGGAGAGCTAAAGATGACTCAATTAACATTCTAGATATCTGACTCATGAGAGCGGCTGAAGAATTGAAAAAGACAGAGTTTGTCAGAAACATAGAAAGAAGCAGAGTATTTTGTAGTGATTGATACTGCTATTACTTCTGACCAATAATTTTATAAAAATTGAAAAGCAAAAGGCTCAGCAGTGAAAAATAATATTGCCTTTATCTAATGCCATGTCAACATCAGTCACCTCACCCTCTCCCTCCAACTTCAAGTAAACCTCCATCAACTTCACTGCCAAACCTATCACATTCTGGTGGAAAACCTGTAAGAATAAATGTGACAAAAAATTATTTACTTTTCATTTCATTACACCATTTTTCTCAAAACCTATTCCTGTTTATTAAAAATATTCCTGTTATTTTGTTTTATCTTCTGTGTTTGCTATCAAATTTTTGAATAGATTGTAATCTATCCAATTGGCTCCCGCTCTAAAAAATGTTTGCTGTTTGCAAAGTTTTCAAAGAACATAACCCTCTGAATGGTATGATTTAACTGTACAAATATTTGATTAATAATGAATTAAGTACTTGAAGGAATTTAAATGTATTGAAAGGGCTTTGGTCAAGTCGATTTTTTTACATTTATAATGAAGTTTCTAATAGATACTAGAATATTACTCTGTTTCATAACTGCATGGCTCGTGAGGTATGCCCAAGGTTGATACTAAGTAAGCTGGCATGGAGAGTATAAGTGCAAAGGGAGAGGGCAAGGGGCATTGGTTGGAAGTAAGATGGCATAGCCTATAAAGGGACATGGGATGGATGGAAGATAATAGATTGGCATAGACTGTACAAGGGACAATGGGTATGTAAGGTGGGAGGTGAGAAGACACGCGGGGGTTTGAGGGGTGAAGATTAGAGATTCCAACCTTGAACAAAACAACTCAAAGTCCCAGGAAACCAAGAAAGGCCTTATAATTAGCACACCTCAGCACTCAGCAGCCTCCATTCCCACCTGCAAGCGATTTTCGCTATCAATTGCAGCACATCACCTTTCCAGAAATAAGTTCCAGCATTCTGAGCATTTTCTTCCCACTAGTGGCAAACTAGAAAATTTCCTGACTTAGCATATATTCCTTGAGAGTGAAAATCTAGGCCTTTGGTTTTCATGGTTAATGATGTCATCTACAAATATTTAATCTGAATTCAGTTTTCTTACCAACTTCCAGCTATGATTTATACTAGAGCCTCAAACAATGGTATACATCATTAGATTAAAATGTTATAGGGCCACTCAGATCTTGACCTCATAACAGTCTTAGTTCAAACATAGAAAAAGAATTTGAATTCCAGAGGTAACGCAAGAGTGGCTGCCCTTGACATCAAGCTGCGTTTGACCAACTGTGCCATCAAGGAGCCCAAGCAAATCTGGAGTCAATGGGAATCAGGGGGTAATATCTCCATTGGTTGGAATCATACCTAGCACAAAGGAAGATAGTTGTAGTAGTTGAAAGTTTGGTATCTCAGGTCCAGGACATCTCTGCAGAAGTTCGTCAGGGTACTGTCCAAGGCCCAATCATCTTCAGCTGCTTCGTGAATGACCTCTCGTCCATCATAAGGTCAGAGGTGGGGAAGATCACCAATGAGTGCACAACATTCAGAACCATTTGTGACTCCTCTGACACTGAAGCACTCCATGTCCAAACGCAGCAAGACCTGGACAGTATCCAGGTTTGGGCTGACAAGTAGTATTCATTCCACACAAATCCCCCTTTATAAATATCCTAAGGGTTACCATTCGCCAGAAACTGAAGTGAACTGGCGATATAAATATAGTGGCTACAAGAGCAGGTCAGCGGCTAGAAACCCAGCAGTGTGTAACTTATCTCCTAACTTCCCAAAGCCTGACCACTATCGACAAGATGTAAGTCAGAAGTGTGATGGAATACTTCTCAGTTGCCTGGATGGGTTCAGTTCCAACAACAGTCAAAAAGCTTGACACCATCCAAGACAAAGCAGCCCTCTTGACTGGTATCACATCTACAAGCATCCACACCCCTCAGCCACTGACATTCAGAAACAGCAGCATGTACCATTTACAAGATGCACATCAGAAATTCACCAAAACTCCTTTGAGAGCACCTTCCAAACCCATGATCACTACCATCTAGAAAGACAAAGGCTGCAGATACATGTGAACACCACCAGCTACAAATACCCCTCCAAGACTCTCACCATCCTTACTTGAAAATATATCACCATTGCTTCAGTGTGGCTGGGTCAAAATTCTGGAACACCCTCCCTCCTGGCATTGTGGGTCTACCGATGCAAAATTGACAATGTCTAGAAAAGTCTAAGAAAAAAGCTTCCATTCTCCTGGGATATCTGCAGAGAACATATGGCGCAGTCACCACTCATAATAATGAGACAGACCAGACACTTGACATAATGCACAATATTAAAACTAGATTCCAGCTCTGTCAATAATTCAATAGAGTTAAAAACAGGATTACCTGTTTCCTGGCTTCAAATCATTTCTGAACCAGGAAAATCAATTGTCATACAAACGAGATATATTAATTGTGAACATCAATCAACACAACGACAATAATAAAGAAGCTGATTAGGCTCCAAGAAGAGAAGTTGAGGGCATGAAAGCAGAGCTGGCTAAAGTGAATTGACAAACTGGGTTAAAGAATAGGTCAATAAAAATGCAGTGGCAGACATTGAAGGAATTTTTCAGAATACACAGAATAGATACATTCCAACCAGTAAGAAAAGTTCCAAAGTTGACTACAGCATGTTAAAGATTGAAGCAGACTTAGAGAAAAAAATTATAATTGTGCAAAGACAGATGGCACATTGGGATATTAGACAGAATATTAAAAACACCAACAATGACTCAAAAATTAATGAGTGAAAAATTAGAGTATGTGAGAAAGATGGCTAGAAGTGCAAAAACAGATAGCAAGAGTTTCTTTTTTATATATAAAGTAACCAAAGTGGGTATTGATCCTATAGAAAGTGACCCTAGAGAACTGATACTGGAAAATAAGTAGATGCAGATGAACTCATCAGGATAAAACACAAATAATAGGAGTTGAGGGGAAAAACACAGAAACAGGTTTCTGTATCATCAGTTTAAAATCACAGGATCCACAATCCTGAATTCCTCGATGATACCTTGATGTTATCTGCACAGTGAAGATGAGTCTTTAATTTATTGGCCATTTGGTTGGACCTGGGGTCTTTCAGGTTGTCTTTGGGTTTTAGGATTATTTATTTCAGCATTTCTGGGTGTAATTCTTTTAATGCTCTTTGGATAAAATATTGGAGATAGTAACTTTACAAAAAAAGGGGAAAGAGAAAAGATTAGTGCAGCTAGTTTCTGGAAGTCTTCTTGCTTCTCTCCTTTTCACTAACCTGACAGAGCCTGTGTTAAACTACAACTCGACAAGTCACGCAGTCATTGCTTTGTTGAGTTCTTTTGAACACATGATAAATGATGCACTTTACTCAATATCGTCAAAAAATAAAATTATGGTTAGGGTTAGTATCTGTTAGTTTCGCCTGTTTTTTCAAGCTGAAAACAATTCCATATACCTTCTCTCCATTTTAAAGCAGTGTCCATTTTTCTCATTTCCAGTCCATATTCCAAGAATTAGATAAAATGTTGACAAAGAATTAAATGTAATCAAATATTAATCTTTACAAATCACTATGTTTCTGTACTTGATACCATACAATGGATAGGTGAATGAAGCATCGACAGAATAAAATGCTACGGGACCAGGGTAGGCAAATGTGATCAAAAACTATTTCCTACAATGAGGGCTACGTGCTGCCACAGACTGGTTGAGTTGAATTTCCCACTGTTGTGTTATAACTTCAGCATATCTTTTAAACAAAAGCTTTAACCTCAAACATTAGGTAAGATAAGCAGTTACTGAAGGCTACAATTGTGAATATATTAAAATTAGCAATCCATGATGTTTTAACTTGTCATGGCCACCAATTTCAATGTCCTCAAAATATATTGAGCCCAAGCAATCAACATGTTCAATAAAAACATAAAATGCTGAAAATACTCAACAGATTTGTCAGCATTTGTGGAAAGAGAAGTTGAGTAAAGTTTTAGGTCCATGACTTTTCATCAGGTGTTCTCATTATAACATCAACCTTAAACGAATGTGGAGTAAAGAGCAAATTAACTGATTTCAGAACAATTACCATTTTTGTAACTGGAAATTGACAGAATGAAAGCAGAAGCTATGTACTAAGTGGATTCAATTTGCAGATTCTGATCTGTTTTCATTGTCATGGATGAAGTACTAAACACATACGAACAAAGCAAATTTTACATGATCAACCAGCTTTTATTTTGTTATTGGCAACTAAGATCCATGATGTGCCTATTGTTGTTACTGTTCACTTTACTGTGAAAAGGGAAATGAGGAACAGGTAATCCAAATACCACTGAATCTAAGGTTTTTAAAGTTTCAGCAAAGATTTGTAGCTCAGATTGTGGGTGAGGTTGTTGATTTGCTTGCCGAGCTGGCTTGTTTTCATTCAGACGTTTCATCACCATGCTAGGTAACATCATCAGTGAGGCCTCCGGCGAAGTGATGTTGCTCTACTCTGCTTGGAATTTATATCTGCAGGTGCCTACTCAATAGACAATGACAAGAGCTCACAGCACGCCCTAACACACTTGCCACATTGCCCTACATCAAGAACATATCAGGACTGACAACGAGACTCCTAAGACCACTAGGAATCATGGTATCGCACCAGCCCATAGCCACTCTATGACAAACACTCACAAGGATTAAAGACACCATTCCCACAACATGCACAACCAACATAGTTTACAAAATACCATGCAACGACTGCCACAAACATTACATTGGACCGGAAGGAAATTAACCATCAGAATACACGAACATCAGCGAGCAGCAAAACGACACGACGAACTTTCTTTAATATCAGTACATTCGAACAATGAAGGCCATCAGTTTAACTGGGACAATGTAACTATAGTAGCCCAAGCCAAACATAGACATGCACGGGAATTCCTAGAGGCATGGTTCTCAACCCGTAATGCAATCAATAAACATATAAAATTGGACCCCATATACAAACCCATACAGAACAAAACCAGAAATGACACTTACTCACCATAACGGGCCGGACAGTATAAATTCCAAGTACAGTAGAACAACATTGCCATCGGAGGCCTCACTGATGATGTTACCTAGCATGGCGACGAAATGTCTGAACGAAAACAAGCCAGCGCGGCGAGCAAGTCAACAACCTCAATCTAAGGTTTTATTATTAGCCATGCCATTTCAGAAGGCTAGCTCTGGTTGCTGAAGAGAATATTCAGCTAACCCTAATTTTTCCTATGTTCTTATTATTCAAGAAAGCATTACTGAAGGAAGTATAAAAAAAAATAGTTATACACTTCCACATAAATAATGTTTCTTTAAAAATGTTGAAATCAATAGAGTAGAAAAGGTAAAACTTCATACTAACTGCCAGTATTTAGGCAAACATTTTGCAATTTCAAATATTCTATAATTTCTGACGTGGAACAAGGGCTCAATGTCACCTTGAAACTCACTTAATGCATGGAATATCTTATAATAATTTACATTCAAAATTTCATTAACGCATGAAAAATAAGTTTTAAATTTCACAGTTTAATCCTGGTATTCATCTGTCAACAAATTCCACTGAAAATATTTAAAATACACTCAAGCTAAACCACACCTGAAACATTAATCTCTCATAACTTTCAGAAACTGCATTTGAGGGTTAGCAGATTGGTCATGACCTCAATGCAGGAAAGTGGATATGAAGAATGTTGGATCAGCTATTAAATGGCAGAGCAGACTTGATGGGCTGAATGGCCTACTTCTACTCCTGCACCTCATGGTCTTATCTCCATAACCATAGGCCATAAGATATAGGAACAGGAGTAGGCCAGTGACCCCCCCAAGTCTGCTCCGCCATTCAATTGCCGATCCAACATTCATCATATCCACTTTCCTGCATTTTCCCCATCACCCTTGATTCCTAAATGATCAATAATCTCTGTGTCTCAGCCTTAAATATACACTTGATTGTCACACTGATTAAATAACTAATTATCACATCTTTGAAAATACTTAACAAACCAACCTCAACAGCCCTCTGCAATAAAGAATTCCACAGATCAAGGAATTTTGTCCATACATTGCACCTTTTTAATTAAGGAACAAATTATGGAGACTGCAAATCCCTGTTACATCCCTCATGCCAACCAATGAGCATGCTTGTCGATGTTGCATAAATTGACGTGCACTTTCCAAGTTTTGTTTCTTGCACGGCAGGCCTCATGAGTACAAGACAAAAAGCTTCAGCTCTGTGATAAATTACATTTGTCATCATTGTATCAAACTTACATTTCCTCTTATGAGGATTTAATATTTTATTGCTGTAAAATGAAGCCATCACAAAAATTGCAACGGGCAGTGGATGAGATGCTTCAGTTTAGATTGAAACAAACAATCGATAACAGTTTGACTTGACTGAAGTCTGATCTTTGGTCAGCTGCAGTTTGAAACAAAGAAATGTCCTTCTCTCAGTTTCCATATACTTTTAGTTCCTTTTGCATGAGATTATGCTCATCTAAAATAAGTTGGCTAAAATATCAATGAAACACTGTTCGTTCACAAACTAAATATTGTCTCTCTCAATTCTTTCTAATGAGAAGCTCCATACCTCCATCTATCTCCGTCTGAGAATCTATTTAAGATTGGCATTCAATCTAACAAGGAGACCATGCACGTGAAACAGAGAAGGATTTCTTTCACATCAGATATCTACTTCCTTGCACTACCCATCAGTAATGGAACCGAAAAAGGAGACAATATCCTTTCACAGTGCTGTGACTAATTCTGTCATGGCTCCCCGCTACAAAGTACATAATATTCAAAAGGTGCAAACAATAATCTGTATAAATATAAAATTGGAATACAGGGGTCCTCGACATTGAGGTTATGTACAAGAAAAGTACAACTTATGTCCAAACAACTCACGTTGAGGAATTTGCCTCCATAAGAATGATGTAAATACAGGGGGATAGGGACTGTAAAGGCGCTAAAGTCACCTATGCAACTGACATCGGAGAAATCTCTCCTGTAAGAAACAATGGAATGAGGTAGGGATAGGGACTGTAACTTAGGGAAATGTTGTGTTTCATACCTAGCAACCAAAATACATACAATACATATATGATACTGTACAACACAAGGTATAAACACACCCTGTAAAACATTTTCCTTGTTCTACAGTAATAGACTTGCTACTCATTGTTGAAGGATTGCAATGATAATTTCTGATAAAGTTCATGTTGATTGTGATGTGAAGTCACTATGAACAACATGAGAGAACACAGTGTGACTCAGAAGCATCAGACAGGATGCTAGGAACAGATGCAAAGATGGTAGCGCAGACGTGAATTATGAGTTGTACGTTTTCTATATTAAACTGAACTGAGTCAAAACCAATGCAACAACATGATTGCAGGGAAATTTTACATTCAGTTCCTCAAAAAGTCAGTGATGTGAGTGCAAAATAATGTATATTGCAACAAAGTGTATCATGGACGCCCCAGTGCACAACCCACAGCCTCAATCCTGACATGGTCAACAATTTCCACCAAAGCATTTTCATGAACTTCTGTGAAATCCTGTCCTTATTACAGTTTCATTACTCCAATCAGCCAATGAACAGCCCTGAATGCTTCTAACTTTTTAAACTAGTTACTGAAGATACATTTAGAAAGATGGAAAATTGCAACATGTGCCAGAGAAAATCCTGGACGGAAAGCTGCCAAAGTTCTTATTCTCACTTGTGGGGCTAGTTTTCCACTAAAGTTACTGGACCATGTTCACTTATGGGAAAGAGAGAGTCGCATCACTTACAGGCTTGTACAGCTTGACTATCCTGTTTTATTTTAATTTTAAAACAGTATTAGAAGGACCTCTAGTGGTGGAGAAACAAGTATGGAAATAACACATTGGGCATATAATGGAAATTCAGAGCTTAGAGTAAACGTACCATGTTGGAGGTCAGCACAACAGAGGTATTTTGATGAACTCACAGTTGCCACAACCACCTGACACTTGAGTATGTCCTCTTTCCTTGGCAGCAGGAATGTAGACTGGTTCCGAGCAAGTAGACAATAGCGCTGTACTGCGGGATGCACAGTTTTCACATATTTGGTTTTGTGACAGATTCTAGAAAAGAAGGTTTGAGTTTTAATCAGAAGACAAATATATAATAATTAGCAAAAGAATCAGAGAGGGGTTGAAGAGAGGTTTTATTTGCCTGGAAGTTTTTTTGTGATTGAAACAAACCAGTAGCAGGTGCAATCATAATTTTCAAAAACTAGAATTGGATGAATGCTTGAAAAGATTAAAGAAAATTGGTTGTGTAAGGTGAACGAAAGACTAGGACAATTGATTAGCTTTTTTAAAGAGTCAGTGGAAGAACAATAGGCTGAATGTCTTCTGTGCAAGATTCTATGATATAGCTCAAATATATTTGAATTAAATAATTGAATTAGCCACAAGGAATTTCAAATTAAGGAAAATCTGATCCACAAAAATATATCTGCTTCAAGGTGACACAAATAATGCACGTTAATCCATTCTCTCCTTTACAAAAGGGGCACAATTCTGTGCTTAAATGTAAGTATTCCCTTCCACGTTCCCTACACAATGGCTCAGTATGTTACACCAGCAAGTAAATCATAATGGTTGAAGCACACCACAACAAACCATTGATTTATTGTGGCTTTACAAATACCAAGTAAATAGATTGACACACTGAAAATTCAGAAGGTTCATGGGATTACAAGAAATTGATTTAAATTGACAATTCCTGTGAGAGAATCAGTTACAATAGTTTTTGTTTCATTATTTCATTGTCATGTTCCCAAGTGCCCCTAAATGGAGTTGCTTGATAGGCCATTTCAGAGGGCAGGTAAGAATCAACCACATTATTGTGGGACTGAAGGCCAGAGCAGGTAAGACTTAGATTTTTTTCCTAAAGGACATTAGCAAACCAGATTTTTTTTAATGACAATTGATGATGAGTTCATGATCAACACAAGTGAAGCCAGATTTTTAATTCCAGATTTTATTAATTAATTGAATTTAAATTCCACCAACTGTTGTAATGGCACTCGACTCAGTGCTTTGACAGTATTAGCTTAGACCTCTGTTTTACTGGTCCAGTGACATTACTGCTATGCTGTGGTGTCCTTCCTCTTATTGCTCTCGTTGTCGTACCTCCAGAAGACCAGCACAGATTACTAATTCCAAGTGAACACATTACAGATCTGTTAAATATTGGGCAGGAATGGTTACTTATATAAATCAACCCTTATGAGGGTCATAAACTAACAATATGTTGCTTATGTTTAAGTGGATAGTGCTCTCACCTGAGAAGAGTAAGATTACTGGCATCATTTTCAAACATAGGAACGAGGTAGTCCTTTATGAAACTGTCTGCTGCAGTATCAGAATGAGTACAGAACAGAATCCTGAGACTGGAGGAAACAGAATGGGAATCCATTGTAAAAAATGAAATGTGGTGCACTGTACCTTAAAATCCATGATGATAAACTTTGAGTTCATCCATGTCTCTCTCTCTCTCCTGTACCCCTAATGCCACACAGTGAAACATCTGAAATATCAGGAACACTCATGGCCACAAAGCTTTAACTCCAATAGTTCAGTCAGTAAATGTGTCATATGATGTGGTCTTGAGCTATACAGACCAGATACATTAATTCTTGGTCTCCTTTCAATAAGCCAATCTCAGTTGGAATGCTAGCGTGGTCACAATTAACTTCAACAGTTCATGGACAGAAAGGAATCATGTACACATCCTTGAATCCCACTCAGCTTTACGACATATCAATCCCTTCCAGAACATCTGTACTTCTAATACGACAAATTATCAGCTGTCAACTCCTGCGAAATTAAATAGCCAACCAATACTACATCTGCAATCTCATAGATTTGAAGCAGATACTTGGGGTGATATTCAATAAACAGCTATTTAGCATACACCAGAAAAAGTCACCATCTGGAATGGGCAAACAGAATAGACTAGGGGAAAAAAATTGTGTTACAAAGGGAAAGAGTAAATTTAAAGTACGTCCTTTATCTAGTCATCAAGAAGATTGGCACAGTTCTAAAATACTTTAGCTTGTGCCTGATTGTGCACTCATGCACCAAAGTCTTGAGAATATTACAATTTTTTTTTCAGTCCATCCATCAACTTCACTCTACCTTTTGTCAGGGTCTTTCACCAATTGTTTGACTACATTTGCCAAAGTGAACGTTTTCCCAGTGCCACACGGCCCAGTCAGAAGAATCGGTGGTAGACTGAACAATATGGGAGCTGTAATAACACCAACTGCTTTCCTCTGTTTGGAGTTTAGCCTTGGGTCCAGCTGCTTCTCCCAGTCCCTGAAGGACAAAAATGAAAATCATTATTTTGAAAATTGTACATTTATGTCATATCTACAGCACAGAAAAAATTAATAGATATGAAATAAAGAAAAATATTGAATCTGAAAGAAAATATCTAAGCAGCAATTCCCGTATTCAGTAACATGCCAATGTTCTCAACACATTTCAGCAATAATGTGCATTTATATAATATCTTCTATATGCTTCACAAGTGTTTCAGAACAAAGAAAAGCCTCTTCACAAGGTTTCCACACACTCCCATTTCAGCAACAATCGCAAAACCGGTCCATATCTGAAAAATGCAACATGAATACTGTAAAATTCTCCTCCACCTGTCCAATAAGCAGAAGATCAGAAGTAAAATTTAACTGATTTTGTAAAACTATCACAGGCCATAAACGGGATGTTTGTACTTTACCACAAGGAGAAAAGATGTAGCACCTAACTTTCAACAATTTTGAAAGTGAAAAAAGAGCAGATGAAAAAAATCACAACCAGCAGAGATTACAAGCCAAAGTGGGTGTAGTTATTGTGACTTGAGAACAGGAATAGGAAAGCACCTATGAATGAGATATTACTTCTCCAAAAGACTAAAATGAAAGAAAGATTAATTCAGTTCTCACCTGTAAAGAAGTATAATTGCAAGGCTCTCCACAAACTAACACAACTATAACTAACAGACTGATATGGAACAATTTCCTTTCTGTTTCTTGGTTCATTCCCTGAGCCAAAGCAGAGTCCTTCCAACATTTTCTGAGAATCTTATAATCCATGTCACTGGTTTTTAAAATGGTCTTGAAAATTGCTGATTCAAGAGCCATTATAATTTTGATTTCCTCAGTTTTGTTTTTCTTCCTCATATCGCAGCACATTTCAAACCATTGAGTACAAAATGTTAATGAGTTATTTGGAAAATCACTACATTTGGCAGCCACTGGGGAGAAAAAAATAGTTCCATACCTATCTGGCAAATCAAGAGTTAGAAGAGAAGAAACGTCTGGGGATACCAGGCTGCAATCTTTCAGATTATCCAAAGCTAGGTGCATCTCACAGAGAGACAAGCGGTTCAACTGAAACTGAAGCTCCACCTGTTGAATGAATCAAGAGATCACTAAGCAATTTAAATGCATTGAAGAATCAGAATGGATTCTGATAAAGTTCATACAACCAATACATAAGAGTTTTACTTAGTATATGAAAGTTCCATAAAAAGCAAAATGAAGGGAGAAATACTCTTCAGTTTTAGTTTTTGTGAACAACTAAGTTGGACACTACTACAGTGACCCATCACTGTACCATTCTGAACTCTTTTGCAGTTCACATTTTCTTATGACTGCTGTGGCTGTACATCAACAATTGTGACTACATCAGGAATAGAAAAGTGAATTGTTCTTTTATTTGTGAATGAAGCACTCAGTCGTTATATATTCCATGTTTCCTAGGTGACCACAAATGTTCCATTTTTGCATTGAGTACCCATATCCTAGGAGTAAATATGTCTTCCTTCAATTGTTTACAACCTTGATGAGACCTGGAATATTGTGTTTAATTTTGGTCCCCTTACCTGAAAGGAGTGTGTCCTTGTCGTAGACGGAGCACAACAGTAGTTCACAAGGTGAATTCTTGGGATACCAGGACTACCCTAAGAGAATTGACTGATGAGATTAAACCTATATTCTGTAAGAGTTTAATAGAATGAGAGGTGATCTCATTGAAACTCTCGAAATTCTTAAAAGGGTAGACATTATGCAGAAAGGATGTTTCTCCTGGCTGAAGGTGAGGTGGGAAATAGGGAAGCATCCAGAATCAGGGGACATAGTATCAGAATAAAAGACAATCAATTTAGGACTGAAAGTAGAAAGGATTTCTGGCAGGGGTGAATCTTTGGAATACCCTTCCCAAAGGGCTGTGGCAGCATAATCATTTAGCATATTCATGACAAAGACTGATAGGTTTCTACATAGGTTTCTAGGGGCGGCACAGTGGCTCAGTAGTTAGCACTGTTGCCTCACAGTGCCAGGGACCTGGGTTTGATTCCAGCATCAGATGAATGCCTGTGTGGAGTTTGTACATTCTCCCCGTGTCTGCAAGGGTTTCCTTTGGATGCTCCGGTTTCCTCTCACAGTCTAAAGATGTGCAGGTTAGGTGGATTGGCCACGTTAAATTGTCCATAGTGTCAAGGGATATGCAGGCTAGGTGGAATAGCCAAGGCAAATACAAGTTACAAGCATATGGTAGAGGCATGGTTCTGAGTGGGATGCTCTTAAAAGGGTCTGTGTGGACTCGATGGACTGAATAGCCTGCTTCCACACTGTATGATATTCTATCATTAATATCATTCTATGATATTAATGATATTTGGGTAAATGGACAAAATGCAAGAAAACAGTATGGATCTATTCCTGTGCTCTTGTTCCTATCTGCAATATATGTTTTGATGCTGCTTAACGCTAACTTTGAACTTCGCAAAAGGTTGAAGCCAAGGATCTTCTGCACTGGATTTTCCATGAAGTGTTGGCTTGTGGTTTCTTATAAGATGAAATCAGCCTTCAAGCTACATCAGGACTGAAGTCATACATTGCAGATTAGTTTGTATGTCAATAAGGGCTTGAAAGACTTCTCTTAGCGTTGAGGGACAATTTTCAGGTTGATTGGAGAAATGAATTATCCCCAATTAGCTGTACCTGGCAGAAGATTGTGATGAATGGATATCAAAGTGACAGGAAACATCATGGGAAGCCAAGTGTTAGGTTGGATTTCCACTTTACTATTCCATTAAATGTCAACAACTTGATAATGGCTACTTCTGGACTACAGTGGTGTACAATACTCAAAGCAAGATGGTCATCAAAAATATAGTCTACACTATTGTTGGAACAAAATGCTGCACTGAAATGTAATACTTGACAGCGTAAAAACTAATTTTCAATCTGACTGACTCAAAGCAGCAATACTTAGACCATTTTTTTCTGTCAATTAATCAGTGACTGGCATCAGCCCACCAATTTGGTATCAAGTAACACAGCACTCAATGTGGGTCATACTATCAAAACCTTAAGTTTTTGATTATTTGTGGAATACAGCAAATACTAAAGAAAAACTAAAGAAAAGAACAGAATGCTGAGGACGTTACAAATTTTCCTCCAAACAGTAATACAGTCAGCCAAACTGCTTAATTATTGGTAATCCATTGTGAAAGGGGTGATAAAATTACATGTAAAAAACACCCTTTTACTTCAAATTATTTTACTCCCACAATATTATGTAAGTATCATACAGAATATACTTTAAGGTGTGACAGTAACTTCAGAACTTAACTCCAAAATATTCAAGAGTAAAACTTAACAATTATATTGTGCTGGCTATAGGTTATGACTAGGCTCCCTCAGTACATTCCAATTATATTAATTTCTTAATTTCTCCTTCAGCTAATAAATCTGTTTCTCCTAGTCCTTGTATTAAGATTTTGAACAAAATATGAAGCGGGCGGAGGGGGGGAATGTCAAGAACTTTTGTTTGCACAATGAGAGGTAATGCCCTGGAACTTGCTGCTAGGATGGACTCATGTGCCTTTATGATTTTACAACACTATCGCACTTACATAAATATTAGATCATGCAAATTTAAATCAAATGCTAGGATGTAAAAATTGCAAAACAGTAACCAGCTCTAAACGGAATTCAATATAAAAGCTGCACACGGGAAATTCTTCATAATTTGCTTATTTCTTTTAAAAATGTGATATGCACGCCATATGATCAATGCAGCTAATGGTAAAATTGAAAGAATTCTACTGCCATTCATAAATGTAGTGTTTTATGTAACCGATCATCATGGAGCAGCAATCAACAAATTAAATAAACTAGTTTCTTAAACAAAATTATGGAAAAATGTCAAAGGGGAGGAGTGCTCAGGAGAGGTTATTAAAGTTTCGAGAACAAGTAATAGGACAGAGAATATGGAAAGGGTCAGATTTAACTTCAGGCAGAAAATAAAGGGGCAACTATGAGAAGTGGAGCAGTCACCACAGGACTAAGGGTGTTGTACTTGAAAGCGCACAGTATACAAAACAAGGTGAATGAGCTTGTAGCACAGATTGAAATTGGTGGGTACGATAACAGAGACGTGACTGCAAGGGATCAGTCTAGGAACTAAATATCCAAGGATATGCGTCCAATTGAAAGGACAGGCAGATTTCCAGAGAATCCAGGGTTGCCTTGTTAATAAGAAACTAAATTACATTGATAGCAAGAAGCAATATAGGTTCGGAATGTGTAGAATCTGTGTGCGTAGAGTTGAGGAACCAGAAAATAAAAAGACCCTGATAGGATTTAGGTACAGGCCTCTTAGCAGTAGTCAGGAATGTGACGCAGAAAATAAATCAGGAGACAGAAAAGGCATGTAAGAAAGGTACTATTACAATAATCATGGGCGACCTCAATATGCAGGTAGACTGGGAAAAACAAGTTGGTTGTGGATCTCAAGAAAATGAATTTATGGAATGTCTATGAGATGATTTCTTGGCGCAACTTGCATTAAAGCCCACTATGGAATAGGCAATTCTGGATTTGGTAATGTGAAATGAGGCACACTTGAGTAGGGAGCTTAGGGTGAAGGAACCCCTGGGGGGAAGTGACCATAATATGGTAGAATTCATCCTGTTGTCTGGAAGGGAGAAGCTTGAATCAGACATAAAAGTATTACAATTGAGTAAAAGTAACTACAAAGACATGATGGAGGAGCTGGCCAGAGTTGTTTGGAAGGGGACCCTGGCAGGGAAGATGGTAGAGCAACAATGGCCGGAATTTCATGTTGGCAGGAAGGCACAGCAGGAATTCATGCAAACAAAGAAGATATATACTAAGGGAAGGAAGAGGCAACCGTGGCTGGCAAAGGATATAATGGATAACATAAGAGCAAAAGAAAAAGCATGCAATATGGTGAGGATTAGTAGGAAGCCGAGGATTGGGAATCCTTGAAAAACCAGCAGAGGACAATTAAAAAAGTAATCGAATAATGAATTATGCCAGCAAGCTAGCTAGTAATATAAAAGAAGACTACAATAGACTTCTAAACAGATAAAAATTAAGAGAAAGATAAGAATGGACATTGGACCACTGGAAAATGAGGCTAGAGAAGTATAATGGGGAACAAAGAAATGGTGGAGGAAATGAATAGGTACTTTGTGTCAGTCTTCACCGTGGAGGACACCAGTAACATTACAGAACTTCAAAAGAGTCAGGGGACAGGGATGAGTGTAGCAGCCATCACTAAGGGGAAGGTTCTGGGAGGCTGAAAGGTCTGAAGGTGGATAAATCACCCAGACCAGATGGACTACATCCCAGGATGGGGATATTGTAGAGGCATTGGTTGTGATCTTTCAGGAATCACTCAAATCGGGGAGAGTTACAAAGGATTTGAAAATGGCGAATGTAACACCTGTGTTTAAGAAGGGAGGGAAGCAGAAGATGGCAAATTATAGGCCGGTTAGCCTGACCTTGGTCATTAATAAGATTTTGGAGTCCATTATTATGGGAGATCGTACTGTATTTGAAAATGAATGGTAAAATAGGACTTGAGTCAGCATGGGAGGGCATGCCTGACGATTCTGATAGTATTCTTTGAAGAGCGAATGAGCAAATTAGTCAGAGGAGAGTCAGTGAACATGATCTATTTGGATTTCTCGAAGGCCTTTGACAAGGTGTTGCTCTGGAGGCTGATAAATAAGAGAAGGGCCCATGGTGTTAGGGGCAAGGTACTAGCATGGATGGAGTCAGAAGTCCTAGTTCAGGATTCTCTTAAGGCTAACATTCAGATTCAGTTGACAGTTAGGAAGGCAAATGCAATATTAGCATTAATTTTGAAGGGATTACAATACGAGAGCAGAGATGTACTGCTGAGGCTGTATAAGGTTCTGGTCAGACTCTATTTGGAATATTGTGAGCAGTTTTGGGCCCTTTATCCAAGGAAAGCTGGCCTTGGAGGGATTCCAAAGGAGGTTTACAGGAATGATTCTCAGGTTGAAGGATATATCATATGAGGAGCAGTTGAGGACTCTGGGTCTGTGCTCAACGGAGTCTAGCAGGATGAGAGGGAATCTCATTGAAACTTACAGAATACTGAGAGGCCTGGATAGGGTGGATGTGGAGAAGATGTTTTCACTAGTAGGAGAGACAAGGAGTCGAGGGCACAGTGTAAAGACACAATCTTTTGAAACTGAGATGAGGTGGAATTTCTTCAACCAGAGGGTGGTGAATCTGTGGAGCTCGTTGCCACAGAAAGCTGTGAAAGCCAAGACATTGAGTGAATTTAAGACAGAGATAGATAGATTCTTGATTAGTAAGGGGTTTAAAGGTTACAGGAAGAAGGCAAGAAAATGGGGTTGAGAAACATATCAGCCAGGATCGAATGGTGGAGCAGACACTAAGGGCCGAATGGCCTAATTCTGCTCCTAATATCTTCTGGTCTTATGGCCTAAGTCAGTCAAGAATAAGTCAATGGCTGTCCTTGATATTCTTCAGCCATGGAAGTGGTGATCAGACCACATATTCAGTGAAGAAGTTCAACTTCAGTAACTTAAAGATTACTAATAAATAGATGATCGTGTCAGGCTGACAACCACCCTTGCTATGAGTTGCAATGCAATTATTTTTAAAAACATGAAATACAAACATCATATAACTAATTTTACAGATGCATTCTGAAGAGAAGATTTTTCTAATATCATGTTGTGGCATTAATTGTACATTTGCGGCTCGATTCTTTTAAATGGGTCAAAAGAGAGGCAGGCATTACTTCAGAAATCTTAAGGTTTTCCCATCTACAGGCTGAATTTCTCAATTCAACTTTTGTGGGTCTGTCTTCAAAGCGATGATCCAAGGGAAATAGGAAAATTTTTGGTAAAAGATAATGTCTCAAAGATGTAATCACATGAATTTATATAAACTTGCCTCTATGTCTCTTTCTGGTCGAAGTTTCAGATCTTCACAGCACTCTTTGGAGAGTCTCAGCAACATACACTCCCTGGACCGATCTTCCACAAGCGCTTCATACACTTTTTCTTTATTTCCCTGATTCACTCCGAGACCCTTCTTTTTGCTGAGTGGTATCAGCAGAACGCTAGTGACCTTTTCCATTACCAGTCTTCCCGCAGCAGTGTCTTTGGTTATCACAGTATCATTCAACAAAACACAAGCAAGTAGTTGACCATTCTGAACGTGCCGAGCAGCACCATGATTGCCAGGAACCGCATAGGATGTTGTTATATGCAAATTTGCTTTTACATTAAACCTAGTACAAAGAGGAGAAATTTTAAACTAATCAAGGAACAATTTTCTTTTTAAATTCACCAACATAATATTTCCTGCATCATGTTTCCTCCAAAGGAATATACAGAATAATGGATGAATCTAATATACAGGGTAGAATTTCAACCATGAGATTTCAAGAGTGGGGTCACAGAAAACCTAAATGGCTTATTGTCATTTGAGATTTTAAAAAAGTCTTTGTTCAAATAATTTTCATTTGTTTGCCTTCTTTGCTCAAGATCCTTCTGTTTCCCAACTTTCATGCAAACTTAGGAAAAGACAAAAACGTAGTGGTAACATTACTAGACTAGCAATTCAGAAGCAATTGGGGACACTAATTCAAATCTCACCACAGTAGTATTTAAATTTCATTTATAAGTCTAGTGACAGTAATGGTGACCATGAAAATATCATTGATTGTTATAAAAACACATCTGGTTCACCAATGTCATGTATGGAAGAAGTCTGTCATCCTTACTTGTTCTGGCCTACTTGCAACTCCAGGCCCACAACAATGTAGTTGACTCTTAACTGCCCTCTGAAGTAGCCTAGGAAGTCTATTAGTTCAACAATAATCTTCTCTAGCTTCCACCCTAAACACATTAAAATGGCCATTCCCTACAGACAAGCCCTACACATACACAGGATCTGTTCAGATGAGGAGGAACGAGACAGACACGGAGCAGGATATGATGCTCAACTCATCGATCACCAGTTCCAATGTGCCACAGCGAAAATCCATAATGACCTCCTCAGAAGACAGACACGGGGTACATCTGATAGGGCACCCTTCATCATCCATTACTTCCCGGGAGGGGAGAAACTACGGCATGTTCTTCGCAGCCTTCAATGCATTATTGATGATGATGAGCACCTTGCCAAGATCTTTCCCACACCTCCACTTCTCACATCCAAACAACTGCCAAACCTTAAATAGACCATTGTTTGCTGCAAATTACCCAGCCTTCAGGACAATATCAACCACAACACTATACAACCCTGTCATGACAACCTCTGCAAGACATGTCAGATCTTTGACATGGACACTACAATCACACATGGGAACACCACTCACCACGTGCACGGCAGATACTCATGTGACTTGGCCAACGTTGTCTATTTCATACGCTGCAGGCAAGGATACCTGGAGGCATGGTATATTGGCGAAACCATGCAGATGCTACATCAATGGATGAATGGACACCGTTCAACAATCGCCAGACAAAGATGTTCCCTCCCAGTGGGGGAACACTTCAGCGGTCAAGGACATTTGGCCTTGGATCTTCAGGTAAATGTCCTCCAAGGCGGACTTTGGGATACACAACAACGCGGAGTTGCCAAGCAGAGGCTGGTAGCCAAGTTCGGCACCCATGAGGACAGCCTCAACTGGTATCTTGTGTTCATATCGCACTACAGGTGATACACCACACTATACACTCTTCCACACACACACACACACACACAAACACACACACACACACACACACACATATTCTCTGTCTCTCTCACACACACATAAACACACACACACACATATTCTCTGTCTCTCTCACACACACATAAACACACACACACACATATTCTCTGTCTGTCTCACACACACACATGCAACACACATGTGAATCCATGGGGTGAATTTGTATTCGATACATTCTATTTGGTTCAAAAAGCACACAATTTATAAACAGTCATTCAATGTGGCATTTTAAAATTCCTCCTTTAGAAATAAAACCAGTCTGACTCCAAACCAAAACACAAAAAGATTCTAAACAAGGCCTCACCCCTAACATTCTTTGTCTGACCTAAAATGTCACCTCTTTTTTACATTGATAAAACCTTTAGTTCTCACAGGACAGGGACTTGAAAGGAATTTGGGGATTTACATATACATATTAATCAATTAAAACCTTCTAACTGATTAAAGACTTAACAGCATCTCAGGTTTGTTCAGTACATCCTCATCAATGCTGTGACCCTTTGATCTTTTACTTATAAACTCTGGGTCTGACACTACCTATCTCACCAACACCTGAAGAAGAAGACTCCAAAAGCTTATGTTTTCAAATAAACCTGTTGGGCTATAACTTAGTGTCATGTGATTTCTGACCTTGTCCATGCCAGTCTAACACCAGCAACTCCACATCACAACAATAATTAGGGATGGGCAACAATGATGCCCAAGTTTTGTCAAAGAATAAACAAGTATTTCCAATACCTTTCTCAGGAACCATTCTTAGTGTATGTGTGCAATGATATCCAGCTATTTAACTATTGGAACGCAAAGGCAAACCTGATCTCATCATCATCTCATCAGATAGCCGCACATATACACTTTGCAGACTGAATCAAAGATTAACTATCAAGGGCATGGACTGATGCACACGGTTAACTATTTGCCCTCAACAAATTTTCAAAACTGTTCTAAATGAATTCTTGGCATATTTTGTTGTAATTTTAAATGTAGCTGTGTAGAAAAAACATTCTGGACGTTAGCTGTCAGTATATTGCAAACGTAGCTGAGCCAGTTTAAAGAGTTCTAGGCCCGCACACGTAACAGAAATCAGCACAGTCTGCGGTTGAGTGACTACAATTACCATTAACATCCTGTGCCAAGGAGATTTACAAAAGACAACAACATTGTCATCCAACAGTACTAATACCAGTGTTCAGCTCTGCATACTTAAACACTAATGGAGGCTCACACTGGAGTGGGTCAGCATGTAGCTGCAGGACTTGGTCAATGGACAGAATGTGAGAAGAGGTGACAAAAGAAAATAGGGAAGGAATGTAAAATTTAGCAATGAAAGTTTAATGACTTTCTGGGGTAATCTGGAGTCCTACAATCTTAAGATAAAGGATCAGATTGTATATGACAAGACAAATGCATATTTTCAAAGCTTCAGCAGAAGCCAAGTCATACAGTCACACAGCATAGAAACAGATCCCTCAGTTCAACCAGCCAATCATAATCCCAAACTAAATTAATCCCATCTGCCTGTGTTTTGCCCATTTCCCTCCAAATATTTCTTATTCAAGTACTTATCTAAATGTCTTTTAAACGTTGTAACTGTATTCACATCCACTATTTCCTCAGGAAGTTCATTCCACGCACAACAATTTTGTACAAAAAATTTGCCCCTCATGTCTTTTTTAAATCCTTCTCCTCTCACCTTAAAAATATGCCCTCTAGTCTTGAACTGCCCCACCCTAGGGAAAACACATCTGCCATTCACCTTATCTATACTCCTCATGATTTTATAAACCTCCATAAGGTCACCCTCAACCTCCAATGCTCCAGTGAAAAAGTTATCTCGCCTCTTCTTATAACTCAAAACCTCCATTCCCGGCAACATCCTGGTAAATCTCTTCTGAACCCTCTCCAGCTCAGTCTTATAACAGGGCGACCAGAACTGGACACAATACTCTAAAAGAGGCCTCACCAAAGTCTTGTACAACATCAAATAATGTCCCAATTTCTATAATCAAAGGTCTTAGCAGTGAAAGCAAGCATGCTAAACCCTTCTTAACCACCCTATCTATATGTGATGCAAACTTCAAAGAATTATGTACCTGAACACCTAGGTCTCTCTGTTCTACAACACAACCCAAGGCCTTACTTTTAATTATGTAAGTCCTACACTTGTTTGTTTTACCAAAATACAATACATCTTCTGCTTTCACAGAAATTACAAACGTGAAAAGCCCTTACTTGCTTATCTCTTTATTTTGTGCATTTTCCTCAATGTAAAGAAGATCGTGAAAGCGAGAATGATAGTTGTGTCTGTTCAATGCTTTGTCCAAAACTGACCGGGTGAACAACTGGTCAGCAGCAGCAGGAATTTGATAGGTCACCAATAGTGTCAGATCAAGATCAGTCTGCTCTTGAGGTCGAAAATCAACCACTTGCTTGCACGTTGAATCCCAACGCTGTGATGTTGTAAGGGATTGCTGCTGATGCTGTAGCAATGCTTCTGTACCTGTCAAAGAAATCTTTTTAAATAAATTGAACAGTTTTTCTTCTTACCACTCTATCCAGCTGAGAAGCTGACATTCAACATCTTCACAATGTACACAGTTATTAAATCACCTTCAATTGTTTCTCATGATTAAAAAAACAGGCTCTGCTTCATTGATTAATAATTGTTCTTGTTTCATCTTGATTATTTCCTGCAGCTGGAGAAATGGCATTCACCTTATTTTAACAAATGAAAAATATGATAAGCAACTAAATACCTTGATCTGACAGTGTGGACACTGTAACTGTCTGCATCAAAACTGGCTCAGATCCAAAGTCAAAAAATATAGTTTGCTGAAAATTTCCAAAGACTTCTGCAGAAAATTTGACGACAATTTCATAAACACGTTCCTCAATCCTGTTCTGACCACTCAAGTGTTGACTCCACTCTTGGCATTTATTCAATATGGAATATGGGTGGAGACTGTCAGAGTCACCAGCAGCAATGGAAGCAATATGAAAGCATGGTGTGTAGGCATTAGTCAGAAATGCAACATGGTTGAGTAACCGTGGAGGCTGTTAGAAAACAAAAAAGGACTTTGTTACAACAATTTCACACTGAACAGAAAATTGTTTATATCCTGTATGGAAATCTTCAACATCAAAGCTGGTCTTAAAAAAAAGATACAATATTTTTAACTGCTTTTAAGCCATTAATAAATATGGCATAGTAAAATGTCTGATAAATTTGACAAAATCTATTTGTAACGTATTTAAAAATTTCATGCCTGCACACGTTAGATCCAAAAAAAACTCCCCCTTGCCAATTATTTCTATCAAACATTCTTAGTTCCATCTTTACATTGGATATAGCTTTTGTAAATTGTAATTATACCTTCCAATAGTGGCAATGTTGGATTTAATTTGGTGTCTCTCAATGTTACAAAGACTCTTTATATTTAATATTGCTTGTAGAACTTAAGTCCTAAAGGATTGTGGAGAAAAGAACTTTTATCCAGTTTTGTGGTAATACTTGCAATGGGTTCTTTAAAACAGATCATTAAAAGTTCACGTATGGACACTGACAAATTTTTGCTGGTGATGGCTGCTTGCTTTGCTGTAGAGCCTGCTGTACGTGTTTTGAAGTGACTGGCTTGTAGAGGTTCTTGTTTTATCTGATTCAATTAGAGGAAAGCCTGCTAAAGGACAGCTGATGTAGAAGAAAGCTTGCCATGTCAAATGCCACCAGGGTGTGGGCATTACCTCCAGCATGGTATTTATACCCAGTGTGGTAATACTTTTGTTAGCTCCCATGACATAAGAACTAAGTATGGGTTATGTGGTATTGAAAGTTTGCACCAAATATATATAATATATATATATACAAATTACAATCATAGGCACATCATAATGTCTGGAGTAATATTCAGCTGTTTGGTTACAAAGAGTTGCATGCTTTTGCCTACCTGTTTTAATTCAAGTGGCCCTATTAAGATAGAGCCTGAGAACTTTATACCCTCAGGTTAGATGCTACAATACAGTGATAGACAAGCATGTCTCTTAAAGGTATACAGCATACTAACTGTGAGACATCACACACAAGCTGCCTACCTGATTTCTCCTTTTTTTGAAGGGGAAACTCTCATCAGCAATTCAGGGTGAAACTTATTTGTTCTTTTGAAAGAGCATTGAAATTAACATCTCAATATTTTGTTTCCTGATCAGGCTTTGTCTACAGACTTCAAGGTCAACTGTGATTTATCCACACATGCCAGAACGTCAGAACAACAGACTCCTGAATATCCTATGCTTAATCATTTTGTCTTCAAGAATAACCCAATGACAAAAGTGTTTTTTTTTCTGAAAGCCAATCTGCAGAAGATTCTGGGGATTTTTCCTCTTTGCCTGAAGAATGCCTATGTGTTTACATGAGTTTTAGGAATAATAAGAGGGATAAGCATTTATACTCATATTACTCACTGTTAACCAATGATTGCATCTTTATTGAATCAGTTTGGTTTTGATTAGAAACACAGAATTGTGTTTATTATAAAGCCTGATTGATAGATCTAAAACTGAAACCTGATATAGATAGCATACTTAATTGACCATCTTAGTAACTGGAAAATGTGTTTGTAGAAAAGTGAAAAAAGAGTGACTCGTGGAGTAATGGAACCATGGCAACAATGCACTCCTCCAGCCTTGGTCTGAACACAACTGCCATGTCTTTATGGCAGAGATCTCTAACACCAAAACCAATTTTATTTTTCCATTTAACATTTTGTATTCAATTGCAAATCATACAAAATCTAGTGCAATATATGATATAAAGAAAGGGAAAAAAGACTTCAAAATGGGATCCATTTTGTACCCTTTTGTATCTCCAACCAGTAGCTAGGACATTCAGGTTGGTCAACTGTAAAAAGAATACTGTTCTTGTTTAATGTTCATTTATGTACATTTCAACAGGGTTCTGCTGTCTGTGGAACTGTAATCCATAAAGGAGTCAATTATTTCAAGCAAAAAAAATCTCAGAAATTTGCACATTGTGATAGTTCATGACTAGTATTACTTAAATTCTTGGTCAAGTTATTGTTAGTAGAACAAGGAAAACTGATATCCTGTTCAGGTGAACAGTTTAATTTTCACAAATTCTGAAGACTGACTAAAAGCAGAAACTTTTTTTTTCTTCAAACTCAGGGATGCAAAGGCCACTGCAGCCCTCAATTGCTAGGAATAACTGAGATCCTTAACTTAACAAATCAGCCTTTATTCCAACACTTGAATTTTAACTGATCTGTAGCAATATTTAACTCATGTTTAGCACATTTGCACACAATTTCTTTTAGAGCCCCCATATTGAACTTACATCACAAGTAAAAGCAAATGTCCACGAAAAGTCATACTTTCGGCTGTCAGAGACCTGATTCAACTCCTGAGCACATTCCACTCTCACACCTTCAACAGCCCCACTCACCTATTGAAAAAAGTCACAAATATTTAGGCAAACAACACAGTAAATGTTCAGTTACCACGACAAAAAGGTGCATTTTGCCTCAAGTTGATTTTGGAATACAAAGTAACCAGAACCTAGAAATCCTACGATTATCAGATTTCTATCTAACACTCTTGTAAGTACCTGCTGAGTCACACAATTTTTTTAAAAGAACCACAAAAAGTTCACTGCAATAGTAGCGATGTTTCTTTCAGTTACCCGAAAAGATCTTTTGGAAAATTGATGTACCAAAGTTATTCTTCAAGGCATTGTCTTCAAGGCATTTCTGCATACATTGGGCAGAATCCTTCCTAGGTCCCGAATGATATGGGCAATGATGTGAAATTTTGGAGAATCTCATGAAATATCAAGCAAGGTCAAGATTGATTAATTGCATTTTTCAACCAAACCCTGGATTGAGAAAATATTCTCATTAGTGAGCAGCAAGAAACCTGTCTACAGGGATTATCGCTCATTATCACCCCATTGCTACTTAATCTCACCTCATTAACATGCAGAATTCCCTTCTCCCTTCTGGCAGATAGAAACTAGATGCTAAGAATTCCCAACATGAAATTCTGAATAGGTACCTGGCAAACCCAGCTTACCACTAGTTCCTCCAGATTTCCACCTTGGATACCCAACACCAACATCTTAGGTACACTTCAGGTTCTGAGGAAGGGTCACCGGACATGAAACATTAACTCTGTTTTTTCCTTCACAGATGCTGCCAGACCTGCTGAGCTTTTCCAGCAACTTTGTTTTTGTTCCTGATTTACAGCATCCGCAGATCTTTCGGCCACAAGTACCCCATGGCCATAGATTATGGCATCTCATATATGCCAGTCTCACTATACCCTTACAGCACTTTTCTAATCCATTTACATAACACTTCTGCTGCACTTTGGAATGCACTGGATGTAAGCAATGTTGCTGCAAGGAACTCTGCACTCAGGGTCAGGCACCCAGCTCATGGATTGGATAAGGGGGCATCTCAGGCTGTTTGTTTATTCTCTTAGCGCACACTCACTTTGCACCTACCTGGATGCTCAAAGCATCCCTTTTTTGCTTTGTGTTTCAATGTTTTGACCCCTTAAACGCAATTTAAAGGCTCACAGTACTCTGTCTTGCCATGCAGTTTACTGCAGACAGAAAGCCAGGCAGCTTGACATGCTTGTCAGTTGTCATCAACCAAAGGGGTGGACATATTGCTGTACAGCATACTGCACAATGGCCTTTAAAGATGGTGCCAGTGATCCTGAGTTGTCCCTCTAATAGCAAGTACTTCTGACTACAATGAATGGTAGAATCAGATTAGCATCAGACAAAAGGGACATCATAGGGGCATGGCAGAGTAGTTAACAAGGTGAGTTTGGGATGATCATGCAAGAAAACCTGCAAAGCATCATTGACAGAGACCCTCATCAACCTCAACAAAAATGAAACTGCCCCAAAATAGGAAAATAAATGCCTATGTACTGGTTGGTAGCTACACTATATATATAGCCATGTATATCTTCTGTAAAGGGAATAATTAATATCTAGTATTGTACAACCTGTATCTACTTCAGTAACTGATCCATTCATTTGCAGTTCCAACAAGTAATTTGGCCGTTCACCAAACATAAGTGGATATGTGGAAGAAACTATGGTGAAAATTTGCGAAACACCAAAATGAAAATTCTAGGTTACTGATGCAGAGGGAAAAGCAATGCCTTTTACAATAATATTAAACTAACAAATTGATTTTTAAACAAAAATCAAGGGTCCCAAAATTACAAACTTTGCATATACATCAACTATGCGTTTTTTTTTTCCCTTGACCTGCCTTATTTTAAGACTGTACCATTTCTGCCAGATCACTTAGTTTATGGGTACCTTTGTATGGTGGCAATCATGGTATACAGAAACTGAAAATGTGCTGTTCAGTTAAATTTCATCATAGCATCACTGAATGGAAAGAATCTACACAAGACATGTTTCCCACTGATTGCAAGAGGAAAAGCTAAATGCAAACCCTAAAACAGTGAAGTTTGTTTAAATAGCGTCTGGAACAGCTTACTATTTATTCTCACTGTTCAAAATTGCAATGAGCCAAAATAGCTCAACATTCATAACCCAATTGCTATTGAGGAAGGTCATTTGATATCAAATTGTTTCTTATATTCCCCAATGTCCACTAACTCCATCAACAATTTTCTTCTCGAGTCTTATTCATGTCTGCATCAATTCAGAGAGGTGGTAAAAACTGACAAATATTCCCCTTTTGATATTGTATTGAAGCAAACCTTTTTAAATCAAAACACCTCGCCAATGGCTATAGACTTAACAATATTTTCTTCTATGATTCACTCACTGGATGTGAACGTTGCCGGTTAGGCCAGTATTTATTGCCCATCCCTGATTGCTCAGACGACAGTTAAGGAAGGGTCCCAATCTGAAACGTCAACTTTCCTGCTCCTCTGATGCTGCCTAGCCTGTTGTGTTCCTCCAGCTCCACAGTTTGTTGTCTCTGACTCTAGTATCTACAGTTCTTGCTATCTCTGAGAGAACCACATTGCTGTGAGTCTGTAGTCACATGTAGGCCAGACCAGGTAAGGACAGCAGTTTCCTTCCCTAAAGGATATCAGTGAACCAGATGAGTTTTTCCTGCCACAAAAACAAAAGTTGTTGGAAAATCTCAGCAGGTCCAGCAGTACATGTGGAGAGAAATCAGAGTTAACATTTTGGATCCAGTCACCCTTCAGAACTAATGGTAGCTAGGAAAACAATGGCTTTTATACAAAACAAGGGGTGGGGGAAGAGTAAACAATAGGTGGAGATAGAGCCCAAAGAGAGAGAAAAACAGTTGGACAGATAAAGGAATGGTTAAAGGTCAGTTTAGGGGAATGGATAGCTGCTAATGGGATCTATTAGGGACTGACAACGGATAGTGTATGGTCGAAGCCCATGTGGTGACAAGGCCTGGTGTGGGGGGGTGAGGTAAAGCATGGGTAAGGGTGCTCAGGCCCTAAAATTGTTGAATTTGATATTAAATCCAGAAGGCTCCAGAGTTCCCAAGCGGAAGATGAGGTGCTAGTCTTCCAGCTTGCGCCGAGCTTTGCAGCAAGCCTAAGACAGAAATGTTGGCCAGAAAATACGGTGGTGTGTTGAAATGGTAAACAACTGGAAGCTCAGGGTCTTTATTGCAGACAGAACATAGGTGCTTTGCAAAACAGCCACTCAGTCTGTGCTTCATTTCTCCAGCGTAGAGGAGACCACATTGTGAGCAGTGAATGCAGTAGACTAAGACAGCTGGTTTTGCCCAACAATCGACAATAGTTTTATGGTCATCGTATGACTCTTAATTCCAGATTTTTACTGATCTTGAATTTAACCATCTGTCATGGTGGGACTTGAACCCAGGTCACCTAGTGTACAGTGTCCAGTCCTGCTAATTTATGCCAAAAAGTCTAATTCCAGTTGTGAACATAGAATATGACAGGTAAGGTGACCGCTTCGTCCATCAATCCCAGCCCACCCAGTTCCAATCGTTTATGAGCTATTGTGACTAGAATCCTTGCTCACCAAAAGAAGGAAAAAGTACTAAATTGGATTAAGTCCAGAAACTGCTAACTAAATAGTTACATAACAACCAAAACTAATTTTGAATAGGAAAATGAAGCTGTAAACAAAAACAGCATTTACACGAGTTAGTCGAGATAAGATAATTGTTTTGGTTGGCCTTATGTCCGACAGGCAAGGAAAATTTAAGCATAAACTTAAAGTTCATGACTTTTACATGGCTACCAAACTAAAGATTGTATTAAGAAACTCCTAGAGTTACACAGAGCAAAAGTCAACAGCTTATAAGCTCAGATAAGCAACCTAACCACCAATTAACGCAGAGGTATGTGGGGCACTCCAGCGTTGTTACTAATCTCTTCCCCAGCCACAATTCTCATCAATGACAAAGAGTGCCTGGTCAGTCATCAGCAGTGCTGAGAGAAACTGTGCAATCTGCCTTAACCACTTTGAGAACACAAAATATGTCCTTTGTGAGACTTTTCCAATTTTTTATCAACTTAGAGCTATTTCAATGCTATAAAATCCACATATCAGTCTGTCTCAGCCTTCCCAAAATACCTATTGAAGCAGGGACAGACAGTATTTGTGGAGAGGTTTATTTTGGAAAACTGCATGCAACGCACAACATATGACACGTAAAGAAGTGTGCAACCTAAAATAATGCAAGACTGCACTAGAAATGCTATGCAAACAAAAGCATTTTATCTTACCACTCTGTCTGGACTTGGACTGTTAATCCATTTCTCGATCAATGTTTCACTATAATTGCCACCATGGTGATGTTGCTCCCTCTGTTGCTGATACTGAAGTTGTCTGTAAGCATGCCGCTCTCTCCATTCTAGCAACTCAGAGTCAGAATGAGCAAACATACAGAAATCTTCAAAATGGCATGCTCCACATTCCAAATATCTGTGCCAGAGTAAAATGTTGAGTTCAGACATAAACATTAAAGTTCAATCCATAAGCATAGTAATATTTGATATTATTCTGACATTATCTAAGCAATGTCAGCAACATTATTCTCAATATTCTCTGAAGTGGCATGACCCATTTCTGCATTAAAGGCACAATATAAATGTATAAGGATTTAAAAGATAGCATACTATTCTACAGTAACAACATTTTATCTATAACATGAACTTTTTACTGACAGTAGAGCTGGCTTCATTTATTTTAAAACCCAAACGAGTTTATAACATTCATCTAATATCGCTTACAACAAGTTATATTATTGTCATATTCTATAGTGGACTACATAGGACTGAAGCATGCAGAACTGCAGACAGAAAAGCCAGCATGCTCCAAGAATATCTAAGACAGAGAATGAGATGCATGCAAAATACAGAGTGTGTGAACTTACAAATTAAGAGAAGATCATTCAACCCTTGAGCCTACTCCGTTATTCAATAAGATCATGGTTGACTTGACTGTAACTTCAAAACCACATTCCTGCTGACCCTTGATCACCTTTCATCACCTTGCTTAAAAACAAATCTATCTATCTCTGTCATTAAAATATTCAAGGAGTCTGCTTCTCTCCTTTTCAGGAAGGGAGTTCCAGAGACTCACAATGCTCAGAGAAAAGATTTTGCATCATCACTGTTTCAAATGGGCAACCCCTAACTTTTAAACAGATTCTCCCATAAGGAGAAATATCCTTTCCAGATCTACCCTGTCAAGACCCTTCAGCACTGACATGTAAACTCCAGTAGATACAAGCCTAGCTTGTCAAACCTTTCCTCATAAGACAACCCCCATTGAAGGTATTAGTCCGGTAAACCTTCCCTGAACTACCTCTAATGCAGAGACAACTTTCCTTAAATCAGATGATCAATACTATGCATACTTGAAGTGCAGTCTCACCAGTGCCCTGTATTACTGTACCAATGAATTCCTATTTTGCATCCATTTCCCCTTGCAAGAAAAGGGAGGTTGAAGATAAGGCGATTCTTTGCAAGCACAGAAGTCAAGTCTTTTTAAAGAAAGGAGAACGATGATGACGGCAGATTTGAAGGGGTAGTGATAGTAGCTGATGAATCATATATTCTATGAAGTGTGCAAAAATCTCAGTTGATAATCTTAGCACTCATTCTATTTCCAATTATGATGCTTAACTCATTCAAAGACAAAAAGGAGCGAAGAAATCAATGCAATAATAAGTCTTGTAAGCTTTATTGAAGCTGATTAAGTTCAAAGCTCTACCTTGCAGGTCTGCTCACAAGTACACTTCTCAACATCTTAAAAATCTGAATCCCACTTCCTCCACCTTAATAAAACCTATTTCTAATGAAAACAAGTTTAGACACCAGACATAAGACTTCCATCCATTCAGTAAATTTCCTCCAAGTTATAAATCATGTAATTACATCTCCAAGTAAGAAATCCAGATCAAGAAATCAATTCTCTAGCATACCACAGACCCATGATGATAGCTAATCCCCATTCTTTCACCTTACATCACCATTCCTATTAACCTCTACCTTCCACCCTATGACAGATCTCTATTTTTGTTCTTCTCTCACCTCCTCCTGCACTGCACCTGCACTTGCTTAAACCCCTCAATATCTCTAACTTGTTCCAAGTTTACGAAAGGTCATTGACCAAAAATGTTAAATCTCTTTCTCCATCAATCCTTCCTTACTTTCTAAATACTGCCAGCAGTTTTTGCAATATATATAGTTAGAGAGCACAGTTCTACTAACATCATTAGGGCATTATTGCATCAGGCACATTGAAAATCTGAAACTTACTGGCAACACAAGGAATACTCATCAATTCCAATAATTCCTCGTGGGGGTGGACGGAACTTCCATCGACAATCATTTTCTGAAAGACAGTTAGAAATGTAACTTATGCATGTAAGATCTTCTTAATAATAATAATTTAGCCTTCTCAGGGAGTGAGCAGGAACTTGTGTAGTAATCACAATTAATGACATATGAATGCTATCATCCAGGATAAAAACACACATAATAGAATTCTAGAAGGCTGTTCTCTTGAGATTTTCATCACATCATGTAATGAAGCCATATTCCCAAATGGCTCTAGCTGAAATCTGAAACCCACTCCCTCACCTTAATAAAACCTATTTCCAATTAAAACAAGTACGGATGGCAAACACAAGATTTCCATCTGTCCAGTAAATTTCGTCAATGTAGGAATGGTCTGTTATAAACCACCTTCCACATACTCCACAGGACTGTCACTCAGTGTGGTTAATTACAAGACAGCAAAGGAGCCAAAAAAATCTACCCTACGTTTTTAGTTATTCACCAAAGTCTATTAATTACTTTCTAATTTATTGGCTCGTTTATTAGAATCTGTTGCGTCATCACTCTCCTATTATCTTTTTGTATTATTCATTCATGAGTGTTGCTCGCTAGGCCAGCATTTATTGCCCATCCCTAATTTCCCAGAGGGCAGTTAAGAGTCAACTATATTTCCATGGGTCTGGAGTCACATGTAGGCCAGACCAGGCAAGGATTTTAGTTTCCCTCCCTGAAGGATATTAGTGAACCGGATGGGTTTTTCCAACAATCAGCAATGGTTTCAAGGCCAATATTAGACTCTTAATCCCATTTTTGTTGAATTCAAATTCCACCATCTGCTGTGGCAGTCTTTAAACCCAAGTCCCCAGGATATTATCTTGGTCTCTGGATTAACAGTCCATTGATAATACCACTAGGCCATCACCCAATGATATTCTAATTCTTCTCCTTACAAAAATGTTTTAGATACAAGACTGATTATGCATTTCATGACAGTAATTTTGAAAAGAGAGCTTAATATACACTTATAGATGGTATGCTTGCTGAAACCTATAGGAAAACTTTTTCAACAAGCCAACAAATGCATGATGGGCTGAATGAATTCCTGTACTAAATTGTTCTATTCATTTTTTGAGGTGTAACTAGAAACTGAGTCCCAGTGTCACTCTTCAAGTCAGCTCACACAAAGCTCACTAGACTGAGAAAAATCTGTCCTTCCTTTAGCTTTCACCCTTGCCAGCAATAAACCACCAACTTAAAACTTGTCCTGTATCATTTCACCACAACTCCAAGACTCCTTATTACTCAGAACCTCTAGATTGTATTGTTCAATCCTTATCTATTCGGAGTTCCTTAATCCCAAACCGTCTGCCACACACCAAAGCCCTGGAATCTTCTTCAGCAATAATATTCCTAGAGCCTAGGACTCTTCCACCAATGAGTATCAGGTGCACCCATATTCCCTCCAGTTTGCCTGCACTCCTTGACCACAAGAGGCACAACCACCACAGACCAGTGATTCGAGATTAATTTAAGATAAATGGCAAAATATCAGAGTCTTTCCTACTGCTCTCAGATCCAAACGCAACACGGTACTGGTAAATAAATATCTCTGAGAATATGCAGGATACTTCTGTTCCAACGGTTTATTTGTAACTTTGTCTGATAAAGGGGTCCAAATATATTCTAGAGATAGTAGGAACTGCAGATGCTGGAGAATCTGAGATAACAAGGTATAGAGCTGGATGAACACAGCAGGCCAAGCAGCATCAGAGGAGCAGGAAGGCTGATGTTTCGGGCCATTTCTGAAGAAGGCTGCTTGGCCTGCTGTGTTCATCCAGCTCTACACCTTGTTATCTCAAATATATTCTAGTTTGCAATTCGGATAGAGGGTCCAAAAAGTCACCATGAGTTCCTTTTTATGTATACTGCATATGTACTGAAGTAGTGATGAATATTAAAGTAGTGTTTATTAACTTTTTTCTAAAGTCACCTCAAGTAAAGTGTTTTAAACACCAGTTGAGGCACATTCTCAGTGTAGAGGACATTAACTTTCTCTGATCATGATGTGGAGATGCTGGTGTTGGACAAGGATGGACAAAGACAGAAGTCACATGACACCAAGTTATAGTCTAACAGGTTTATTTGAAATCACAAGCTTTTGGAGTATAGTCCCTTCGCCAGGTGAAGTGAGAGAGGAGTACACAGAACACAGAAATTATGGGCAGAGGGATCAAGGGCAGAGAGATCAAAAGATCATACAAATGGTGTGAGTGGAGTGTCGAACAATAAGTCCCTGCAAGTGATCTGATGTGTTAAACGGTGTGAGAAATGTGTGAGCAGCTGAATAACAACTGAAGGGATGACCTATAATCTAATTAAATGAGGCAGAGATAATTACAAAAAATTTAAAATAAGGTGGTGCTGGAGACAAACCAAATGACTGGAATAACATGATAGGTATTTGAGTCACATGCCAAGGGTCTAACTAAAGTAATATGCTATCTAAACTGTACAAACTAATTAAGATAGAGAGATCATAACAATTTATCCAGGTGATGGTGACAAAAACAGGATAGTAAGGAAGATTTTACAGATACAGGACAGTGTGTTGGGGTCTCTTGTAGTGCAACATGAACCCAAGATCACAGTTCAGGCTGTCATCAAGGGTTCGATACTTGGCTATTAGTTTCTGCTTGGCAATTCAGCGTTGTTGTGTATCTCAAAGGCCATCTTGGAGGATGCTTACCCAAAGATCGGAAGCTGAATGTCCTTGGCTGCTGAAGTGTTTCCCCGACTGAGAGGGTACATCCCCTTCTGGCAATTGTTGTGCGGTATCCATTCATCAGTTGATGTAGCATCTGCATGGTCTCGTCATTATACCATGCCTCAGGGTATCCTTCCCTGCAGCTTATGAGATAGGCAACATTGGCTGAGTCACATGAGTATCTGCCATGTATGTGGTGAGTGATGTTCACACGTGTGATGGTAGTATCCATGTCGATGATCTGACATGTCTTGCAGAGGTTGCTGTGGCAGGGTTATGTGGTGTTATGGTCACTGTTCTCCTAAAGGCTGGGTAGTTTGCTGCAAATGATGGTCCATTATCAGGCAATAGGACCCTGTGTGAGAACCTCTCTGGCTATGTCAAGAGCATCTTGAAACCCACTGTACAAGGAACCCCCAGTTTCTGTTGCGACACTACAGATTTATTACAGAAACTCAGCACCCACGGACCAGTCAAACCAGGAACATTCCTTGTCACAATGGACATTTCGGCACTCTACACCTGCATAACTCATGACGACATAATCACTGCGACAGCCTCAGTACTCAATACCAACAATTGCCAACCCCGAGGCACGGTATATCGGCAAGACCATGCAGACGACACAACAACGGATGAATGGACAATGTGCAACAATCGCCAGACAGGAATGTGCCCTCCCAGTCAGGAAACACTTCAGCAGTAAAGGACATGCAGCTTCCGATCTTCTGGAAAGCGTGCTCCAAAGCAGCCTTCAAGACACACAACAATGCAGAATCGCTGAGCAGAAACAGAAAGCCAAGTTCTGTACCCACGAAAGTGGCCTCAACTATCATCTTGGATTCATGTCGCACTACATGTGGCCCCACTACACTTCTGTATCTGTAAAATCTTCCTTACTGTCCTGTTTTGACACCATCACCTGGATAAATTGTAATGGTCTCTCTACCTTAATTAGTTTGTACAGTTTTGGATTACTTATTACTTTGGCTAGACTCTCAGCATGCAACTCCATTACCTACCATGTTAGTCCAGTCATTTAGTTTGTCTCCAGCACCACCTTATTTTTAATTTTTTTGTAATTATCTCTCTGCCTCAAAATAATTGGATTATAAGTCATCCCTTCATTTGTTATTCAGATGTTGACACTTTACTCAGATTGTCTAACAGTTCAGATCACCTGCAGGGACTTATTTTTTGACACTCCACTCACACCATTTGTATGATCTTTTGATCTCTCTGTCCTCGATGTCTCTGCCTATAAATTCTGTGCTCTGTGTAGTTCTCTCTCACTTCACCTGATGAAGGGGCTATGCTCTGAAAGCTTGTGATTTTAAACAAACTTGTTGGACTAAAACCTGGTGTCGTGTAACTTCTGATTTTCTCTGATCAGGGAGACAGTCAATAAAATGTTGCTTCAGTGACATAGCTGATATTATTCATTTTAACCAGCATAATTTGTTGCATGACTGCATTTAGCTCCATGATGTCAGCACAGACCTTTGGCATCTTGCTCTGATGAAAAGAGAGCATCATTAGTTGCTGCCTGCTGAAGAAAGAAAATTCATATAAATATTTAACATCCTGAAAGTTTCTAGTCTGCATCACCTTTTACAAATTTGACTAAGAATCTGCAGCACATTTATTAACAGTTGATTAAAACCGCTGCACACAAATCACATAATTAGTCTGACACCAAAAACTATTTAGTCCCACTTGAACACAGTAAGGTACCTTGTCACATCTAAAACCGGAAATCTAAGAGATTGCAATTTTCTTGTTATACTCTTCTGAGAAAGTCCAGGAAATTCACAGTTAACATAGTAGCATAATGAAGCTTCAAATATTTTAACTTGTAATAAATTGTGAAATGACAACACATAGCTCTTTTGCAACGACAGCCAGAATACTTCAGAGATAGTAAGAACTGCCGACGCTAGACTCAGACATAACACAGTGTGGAGCCGGAGGAACACAGCAGGCCAGGCAGCATCAGAGGAACAGGAAGACTGACGTTTCGGGTCGGGACCCTTCTCCCGACCCGAAATGTCAGCTTTCCTGTTCCTCTGATGCTGCCTGGCCTGCTGTGTTCCTCCAGCTCCACATTGTGTTATAGCCAGAATACTTCTATTTGTTTAAATTAAAAAAACATTTTCAAGGTAACCATTTTTACGAACTTAGCCAAAAGGAACCTTTGATGATAAAGTAGAAGAAATGTTATATGAAACTACTAATAATAGCACTACAAAATTGGCACTCAAAATTCACTGTCTCATCTTCTGCACCTTTAATTGATCTAGCTAAGATAATCATGGGTCTCTACTGGATTCAAAGGTAGGGTTGTTCCCCAGTAGCCATGAATCCATTCACAAATTAGAACCAGCATCTAATACAGCATTGTCACCCACAGAGTGCTGATTTAAGCAGTGAGAATATTACACTATAATATTACACTATATTACACATTAATACATTAATGTGTTTCTTAGAGAAAAAAGATAAGATTGAGAATGCAGATCAGATTTATGAAAATCATTCTGGGAATGAGAAACTTCAATTATAAAAACAGATTGAAGAAGTTGGAACTGGTTTCCTTGGGAAGAGAAAGCTGAGAGGAAATCTGATAAAGCATTCAAAGTCATGAGAGGACTGCATACAGTAAATAAAGAGAAAATTTTCCTACTTTAACAAGCATCAAGAACAAGAGGGCACTGATCTGAAGTATTTTGCAAAAGCAGCAAAAGACGATATGAGCAAATGCTTTTACATGCAACAAGTAGTTAGGGTTTGGAATGCATTCAGACAGTGTGGTGGGACAGTTTAATTGAGACATTCAAAAGAGAATTATATGGTTATCTGAAAAGCAAAAACATGCAAGGTTACAGGGAGAAGGCAGGGAAATAGCACGAAAGTGAGATGACCATTTTGCGAGTCAGCACTGCAACAGTTGTTATTCTGTGACAAGGCATATTGCTCGTGATACTAGGAGGAACTTCATGTTTCTAGAACATCCATTCTACATCTAATGTAATAATACATTACATAACAATATCCAATCTTTCACCCTCCAAAAAATATACAACATAGTTTTCTGTTCCTGCATTACTTCACTGAAGGGAAGAATGAAGTTCCACAATCATTCATTAGTCTCTTACCTGCAACTCCGTCAGCAAGTGAAGTAACCGTCTCAGATGGTTTAAGGAGGCTCCATTCTGGAAGCATAAAGCGACATGTGCTTTGTGCGCTATGAATTCTACTGAAATCGCATTAATTACAAAAAAATTTCAATTGCCAAAATGCTGACCTACCATACAGTCCGTAGTCTTACAATCGCACAAAGCATCATAAACATCCTTCAGTTTTCCCTCTAGAACCATTGATGCCAACACATCTCTTAACAGGTTTTCCCCCAGAATTTCATGGAAGCATAAAACTTGGAACAGAACAATTAATTTAACATGTTAAGATTTCAGCTATAACCAAAAACAATACTAGACATGTTTAACTTTGTCCTAATAGTAAAACTCTTACCAAAGAATAATTCTTTAAAAACTGGATTCATGATCTTCATTTAAACATATAATTAAAGTAATTTATTTTACATAACTTACTATTTTTGCAATCTTCTTCGGCCTCTTTGTAATTCTTCTGTAAAGACATTAAAAAGCGTTTTCATTTATTTAGTTGCAAAAATAACTTATGCTAAGTAAAACTTAAAAACTATGTTTCTTGACAAAATACATAGCATAAGACGCAATTTAAAAACTAAAAATTTACATGGCTTGTATTCACCCAATGGCAGTATTACCCATTACATTCAATGTACATCACTCTTATCTTCCTCATCAGCCCCCCTCCAAAAATTGAGGACAAATCTGGATCTGCAACTGTACAGAAGTGTCTGGAGAAGGGTCACTAGACTCGAAATGCTAACTCCGCTTTCTCTCCACAGGTGCTGCCAGACGTGCTGAGTTTCTCGAGAAATTTCTGTTTTTGAATCAGGTTTCAACATCACCAATTCTTGGTTTTATTTTTGTGTTGTTAAGAGGGGTGCATTATTTGTAACAGATTTGAATTAGCTGGGACTGACAGGATGAAGACTACAAGGACAGCAAAAATAGCATTCAAAGTTCAAATCTGAAGATAACTAAGTTGTGGTACAAGGGATTCAATGGAATAGGCACTGAAACAGGAAAAGGTGAGCAATGTTGGACAGGTGACAGTAGCAGACTTTATGATGTAAAGGAAATAGGGACTGTGTGCAACTCAAGGTTGATAGGATGCCAAGGATGCAAATACTATAATGCAGTCTGATACGGTGATCAGCTGTTAAGAATTAGTGATAAAGGAGCAGATTTTGTCAAGGACCTCGTAATCTAGCATCATTATAATGGCTGATTAAATGCCTTCTACTCTTTTATAGTAGGTGAGAATTCTACCACTGAATAACTAATGGAACCGTTTAAATTCCTTCTATGCTGTAATTTCAATCACTCTATGACGTTTTCCTTGTAATTTCTCATAAGACAACTAACCACACGTAAAGGCTTTAAAAGAAACTCAAATTGAAAACAGGATATCCCTTCCCCAAGTTTACAATGATGTATCAAGAATGATCTTCAATAATCCAGGCAGAGTCTTCTTGATCAAGAGTTAGGCAGGAAAAGAAATACTTATTAGGAGATAGCAAGAACTGCAGATGTTGGAGTCAGAGTCAATACAGTGTGGAGCTGGAGGAACATAGCAGGTCAGACAGCATCAGGGGTGCAGGAAAGTCGATGTTTTGGGTTTACACCCTTCATCAGGATAAAAATATTTATTAGATGAGAATAGTTTAAAGTACTGATGAAACACTACAAAACTGCAAGTGAAGTGCAAATTTGAAAAGATCATTCAACTGTCTCCAGCTTTGAAATGTTGTACTTCAACCATAAATCCAAGAGAATCTTTTTAGAGGAGAGCATTTTTATTTAGATGTTCAATGCATATTATAATTTTTAAAATCTTCTAATCTTGCCACACCACTATCCAGATCGTGAAACAAGTACAGTATCGGAAAAAAAGTGATGGCAAATTCCATGAAGACATTTAGCATGGCAACAAAAGACAGAGCAGAGAGCAACAATGATTAAAAGGCAACACCCTTTAATGGCCAGAATCAAACGTCAAGGAAAACAGTCATGGTTGTCAGAGATCAACTATTACAGCCTCTGGACATTGCTGCAAGCATGCCTCATAACAGCAATCTTGGCTCCAACGTCTCTATTTGTTTCAATGACCTTGCCAGTAATATAAATTCATGTGTCGTTGTTCATTAGCCATTTTGTAATATACAGCTCCATTCCTAGCTCTTTTAATAATAAGGGAGCCCATGCAAGCATACGGCAGAACCTGGACAACATTTAACTAAGTTACAGAAAGCATCACAGTCCCTAAGTATTGGGAAAAACTATCCTAAGCAAATAAGTACACTTCCTGCTGACCTTAAAAGGTGCCATGATTGCAAATAACCCACTACCAACATCTTTTCAAAACTTAAGAGCAAGGTTGAGACTAGGTACTCCGACAAGTCATTCATCTCCTAGACTTGTTGACATCTACTTGATGGTACAATGGAATACAGTGCTCACCTAGTTGGGTGCAGGTGTAACAATATTCAGTACGTTCAAAACAATCAGAACACTGCAGTCTGCTTGTTATCTCTCAGTATTGTGTGCTGTTAGTACACTCTGGCTGCACAATGTATGAACCACAGGGCACGCAATCGCAACTTGCAAAGTTTACATCTTAAGCATCTTCCAGCCCTGCAAACTCTACCACAGAATAAGCAAGAGCATCATTGGAACACTAGCACCTGCAAGTTTTCCACCATCCTAACCTTAGCACAATCTATGTTTTTTCAAAGCTGAGTTAAAACCTTTCAACTCATTACTTACCACAATAGGAGTTCCATTAGCACAAAAACTGCAGCAACTCAAGGCAAAGTCCATTAATCACCTCTTCAGGATAAAGTAAGGATGAGAAATAAAAGTTATGATTTTGCCATCAACCACACCCTATATGAAAATGTTCAAACTGAAAACAAAAAATGCTGAAAATCACAGCAGGTCAGACAGCATCCGTGGAGAAAGAGCAAGCTAACATTGAGTCCAGATGAATCTTCATCAGAAAATGTTCAAGAATTGTACTGTTATTTATTGGCTTTCTGTCTCAGTATAAGCACATCAGGATGAAGCTTTTATAACAAAAGCTTACATTGTACTATTTATGAATGAAAATTTTGATCAAACCAAATGGCATTTGCTGGGATTGAGTATACAGGACTTTTTCCATTTCAGCATTGAAGCCTGAAGCAAGAAAAATGCACAGTTGTTTCCTGTGGAACATTTTCTGACAATTATGTTGTGGTGTCTTAAGTTCTATATTCTAAACTGACAAATAAACTGAAGAAACAGTTTTAGTTTTGAACCCAGACTGGTATAGCTTCTCCCTAAAACTCAACTCCTCCAATCCCAGCAACATCCTTGTAAATCTTTTCTGCACCCTCTCAGGTTTAACATCTTTCCTATAGCAGGGAGACCAGAATTGAACCAGAATGCGTTATAATCAAATCAATTATGATCTTATTGAATGGCAGAGCAGGCTCAAGGTTAAGACATTTAAACTACTTAACCTATTCTCCAACATTATGACTTAAAATGTGGGAACTCTTCAATTTAGGGAGAAAGAAACAGGATGTTATCATTTTTATTTAGATTGAGTATTAATTACATACAAGATGAGGGTGTTGCTGACTAGGCAGCATTTATTGCCCAGCCCGAATTGCCCAGGGGACAGTTAAAAGTCAACCACATTGCTGTGGGCCTGGAGTCACATGTAGGCCAGACCAGGAAAGGATGGCCATTTCCTTCCATAAAAAGACATTAGTGAACCATATGGGTATTTCCTGACAATTGACAATTGATTTGTGGTCATCATTCAACACTTGATTCAGATTTTTATTAAATTCAAATTCCACTGGCTGCCACAGTGGGATTCAAATCAGGGTCTCCAGAACATTACCTGGAATAACTGGCCAGCAATATTACCAGCAGGCTGTCACCTCCCGTAGAATAATATTCTAGATATCTTTTAGAAACCTAAAATAAAAACTTCTACAAACACAATGTTTGAACAGTTAAACACTGAATTGGCAAATGTATTCTTACTTTAAAAATTGCCTTGGTCAAAGCAGGACTGTAAAAAGGAGATAATTCTATCACCCTTTACCACAAAAATATTTTTTTTAAATGTCCCTTTGGCCTAAAAATTACATAACTGTTGATAAAATTTAGGATGAGGTAATCTAGTACTACAAATTAGCTGTAGAACTTTATCTGCCTCACGTGTCACTAGCTGCAAAAAAGTCCAAGAGCTGAATTTGACTTTTACTGGCTAAGTCCAAGTTGCATCGAATTTTTTTTTAAACAAAGGGTTTGTCGCCAGAAGGCTTAGTGGATTTTGTCATCCTATCTTACCAAACTCCCCTCATTATTTAGCTACCACACCATGTAGTGTGTCTCATGCCTGATTTCTGCCCCATCTTACTACACGCTGCTTGTGGAACAACTCACTATTCACCAGCTATCCCAGAATTTACAAGGATTCCTTGCACTCACACCATCTTTAAAATCCCATTGTACACCCAAACAGTAGCCTCAGTCTGGAACTGCCCACACGATTCCCAATATTTGTCCCAGACATAGCAGATGGGGGTGGGGTGGGGGAGATTGGTGCTACAATTTGCAGGCAGGGTCCCTGCTCCTGGAGGGTGTGGTAGACAGGCAAAACCTACCCCTCCCCCAGAACCAGCTGTGGAGGCCACAGCACAAGACCAAATCTGGTTTGAAGTTGCCACCTAGGTTAAAGCAGCTTCAGCCATTTGAAGGAATGTTCAACACTATAGGAAGATGAATGCCCTTCTCCACTCTGCCAGGTTAAGTGATGCAATTTCTCTCAGACACCGCACGTTGGCTTTATCTCTACTACTGTACCATCATGGCTTATGTTCTATCAGCCCCTTTTACCTACAATATCTTGCCCACTCACTGTCCTCCACCCCTCAACACCACTAGCCCTGCACGCTCACTGTGCTGCCTATGCTCTCTCTCAGGACACTTATCCACCTGTATCAAGAGGAACAGCTTTGCCACTCACTTTCATCTCACACAGTAGAGCAGAAAGAGTCAAAAGAAGTGTGGTGCTGCCATCATTTGACTCCTCATCCCTTACAGGAGCATCCAGACCCTGACTGTTTCAACAGGGCAATGGACTGGTTTCAAAGGCTGCCCTTGTCAGACTGTGCTGGGACCCCCCCCTGGAAAGCAGGCTATTCATATTCACTTGATTAAGACCTGCTGATACTATGACAAGATGGCTTTGCATTTACCTTAAATAGTGAGGCAAGGCAGCAGTCACTTGAGCTTTGCATATCTGGCGGAGGGGTCAAAGCACAAAATAGGCAAAGCAATGAAAGACATGGATTCTATGAGAATCCAGGTAGGTTAAGAAGAAGTGAACACTATGACATCAAACAACAAGCCTGGAGATACAACCTGTCCATGAGCTGGATGCATATCCTTGCTACAGCATTACAGTGATAGTTGCCA